CATACAGAGAGCCACCTGTTTATGCTCTCTGTATGTGTGTATATATATCTCCTCAATATATGTTCCATTCTATATGCATCCGAAGAAGTGGGCTGTAGTCCACGAAAGCTTATGCTCTAATAAATTTGTTAGTCTCTAAGGTGCCACAAGTACTCCTGTTCTTCTTTTTAATTTAGATGTTGCTCCCAATGAAGTTTGGAGGGCCAAATGTAAAGATGGGGAAGAACCCAACACTATAAGCCTGTTTAGATCTTGCTGAAACAAAACCTTCTTTTTCAGATGGAGAACGTGTTAAAAATGGTCCTGTCAATAGGGGTTCATAGATGTCCTTAAGTATCTACTAGTCTATTCCTTCCTTTTTGGGATGCTAGTTCTTAATCCCGTTGATTGGTTTTGCTACTTGTTATCCCTTCTGACCTAACACTAATGCTTTTAGCATAAAATGATGGATGGATGACTTAGGGATCTAAACTGAATATTGGTTTACTTACTGGCACCTCAGTAACTACACGTCTTTAGGTAGACAGCATGAATTGAAGTTTGATAAATGAATAAGATCAGTGTTGGATGAAGGGACTTGTGTTGTAAAACAGGATGGAGCACTGATGAGATTTGAAGAGGATCAAGCAATGCAATCAAATCAATTTGCTCGATTTTTGTTTTATTTTTTTTAAAGCTAGTAAATAGAAGATTTTTTTCTATCAAAAACTGTCCCTGAAAGTCTAGTGTTTACAACCACAAAATATTTCAATATCATCAAAGGGTTATGATGAGATTTCATCTTATTCTGCACTCTGACTATTCCCAATTATTTAAAATTATTTAGAAGGGCTGGGCTTAATGTTCTGAACACTGAAAGCCAAAGCGCACAGGATGTTAAATAAATATCAGATGTCATTAATGGCCTTTTTATTTTACTATGCTGTGATTTGCAGCTTCCCACAAAAGAAAAAGTCCAAACCTGCAAAGCCTTACTTCTGAGATGTGTCTGGTCACATATATACAAGGGATCCCATTGTAATAGATATAGTAACAGTTATTAAAGGGGTGCTATCAAGGTTGTTAGGATTAAAACTTGGCCTGTGAGTACCTGGAAAGTTGTATTCTATTGTATCTTAAGGTTCCCAACCATGCACTTTTTATATATCTGTGGTAAAATCCTGACCCTATAGAAATTCAGTGGGCGTGCTCCCAGTCAGTGATGCTCCCAGTATCTTCAGAATGGCCAGGATTTTACACCAATCCTTGCTCTAGTGCCACATTTAGACACTGTCAATTTACATGTGGCTCAAAAATTAAATTTTGAAATATTAAGCTTTTATAAAATGTAATACCAATGTAAATGTTCCACAATTGAAAAAAGAAATTCCAGTGAAAAGGTTTTTAGACAAAGTAAACCTTCATCTACAGTGCTTTTGAAACCCAAACACTACAGCATTAAGATCACACAAATAAAACTGGCTATAAATAAAAGTTAAACCAACTTTGGTCTTGATTCTTCAAAGGCTTGGGCATGTATTTAACTTTAAACACTGGGAATCATATCCATGTCTTTGCAGAACTGGGATCATAATTGATTGTCCAAAGAGAGAGGGTGGGGCTGGGGATGAGGAGTTTGGAGTGTAGGAAGGTGCTCTGGGCTGGGACCGAGGGGTTCGGAGGGCGGGAGGGGGATCAGGGCTGGGGCAGGGGTGCGGGAAGGGGTGCAGGTTCCGGCAGGGGGTGTGGGCTCTGGTGTGGGGCTGGAGATGAGAGGTTTGGGGTGCAGGAGGGTGCTCTGGGCTGGGATCGAGGGGTTTGGAGAGCGGGAGGGGGATCCGGGCTGGGGTTGGGGTTTGAGGAGAGGCTCAGAGGGTGCAGGCTCCGAGCGGCACTTACCTGAAGTGGCTCCCGGAAGCAGTGGCATGTCCCTTCTCTGGCTCCTATGCGGAGGCACAGCCAGGCGGCTCTGCACGGTGCCCCATCCGCAGGCACCGCCCCTGCAGCTCCCATTGGAGCATGTAGGAGCCAGAGCGGGGCCATACTGCAGCTTCTGGGAGTCACGTGTTGTGGCTGCCGACCCAGCGCCCCAGCTGGAGCGACGGAGCAGGGCCGAGCTGTGTGGTGCGACTCGCAAGCTTGCTTAAAACATTTTGCGGGCCAGCTCTAGCCCGCAGACCATAGTTTGCCCACCCCTGCTCTAGTAACTATTTATATAAAGTGGAAAAGGTTCAGCAGGAGAGATTGAGATCTACCCACTGGGTAGGGCATTCACCTGCAATGTGGGAGACTCCAGTTCAAATTCATGCTCCACATTGGGCAGAGGAGGGACTTGAACCTGGGTCTCCCACATCCTGGGTGAGTACACTTGGCTATTGGATAAAAAGAGTCAAGGATTTCCCCACCTGCTTCTCTGCTTGGTGAATGCCTGAAATTGAAATCTTATGTTTTGATCAACCTGAAATAAATTATTTTTTCATTGTTTTGTTTTGTTTTCTGTTTGTTTCTCTGAGAAAACGGAACAATTTATGTTTTGGGTCAATCTAAAACAATTTTGATTTTTTGTTAGATTTTTCAGTTTGACCAGTGAACCAAAACATTGATTATTTTCACAGCTCTAGGCCTGATACTGCACATTTATGTGTGTAACTCTATGCACCTGAGTGGTCGTATTAAGATCAATGAGTCCACGCGTTCATAAAGTTAAGCATGGCTCCAATCCAATTCCTACTGAAGTCAGTTGAAAGACTCACACTGGTTTCAATCGACATTGGATAGGGCTCTATGAAAACTTTAAGACAGGCCACTTTTTGCCTTAACATCCTTGATCATGCCTTTTTTAAACAACCTCTGGTTAAACAATCCCCCCCACCCACCACACACACTCTCTCTCTCTCTCTCAATTCCTTTAGAGATCAAGACTGAGGAAAGAGACACTGTGTTAAAAATATATCATAAGCTATTTGTTATAGATCCTAGTGCTTCATTGAATGTCTCTTTGAAATGTGAGGGAACAGGGTTGAGAAATGCTAACCTGCTGTCAAAATATTTAAAATATATAGTCCTAAATGACAGCTGTATATGGACAAGAGAAACTGTATCACAAAAGGAAAGAGAGGTCCTGTCTGAATAGGCATTTCTATTAAAAATAGCACAGCTACACATGAGAGGAAAATAAAGTAAAAGTCAATCTAAATAAAAGAAGAAAAAACATTTAAGAAATCTGTGTTTACTCTGGCACGCGACTGGCCTACACTGCTTTTGACATATTAGGAAGAATCTTGGCTGAGACCTCCTAAAAGCACTTAAAAAGGCATATGTTTCTTTTCAGACTATAAGGGGCTTGGAATGTTTTCTTTAAACAGAATTCTTATACATCTTTTTTTTTTTTACTTGTGTGTGCGCATTTCAGAATAACTTCCTTAACTCCATTCCTCAGACCATTTGAAATAATTATTTTACTGACTATTTTTGCCAATTGTGTGGCCTTAGCTATCTATATCCCCTTTCCAGAAGATGATTCCAATGCCACCAATTCCAATCTGGTAAGTCCTCGCAGGTGTCCAATTTTACTCATTTGTAGGCCTTGTTTAAAACTGACTGGAGAGTTGGTCAGGAGCTAAGGAGAAAATAAGGCGTGCATCAACTCCATACAACAGAACTGTGGATTTTAGTTTTGAATGCTGTGTTGCTCTTTATTCATATTTGCACCTGTCTCATCAAGGCCTGTTGTAGGAAAGAATATTCCAAAAAATTGTGAGAATCCTGTATGTGGTGTTTTGGTTAGTAAATCTGAATGTGCTGTAGAAGTGTTTGGTAAATTTAAACTGCAGGTGTTTGCACAGAATATCTTTAATTATAGATTGCTGTGCCTTTGTTTCATTAAGTGCCTTTGTGTAATTGATAAGGTCCTTGTCTCAGGTGATGTACAGCAGAGCAGCTTGGTGACTAATTTCTAGGAAGCTCGTTAATGTTTGCATTGCACGTTGGGACTTGTGTGTGTTTTGAAGGCTTTTTTTCTCTTGCCTGGGAAGATTGCTATTCCTGTTTCCATTGATGCAAATGCCAGTATTTTGGGATAGGTTGTCCCTGGAAAAAGGAAGGAGTGTTTACTTTTGGCTTAGTGTGAAGTCATAGCAAAGAACTCTGTTCAGGCAGAGCACAACACAAAACAGAGGTCTGGAATACAATCCACAGAATTAGAATAAAACTTAGCCCTCCCTCTGAAAATATTATGTGAACAAATCTAATGATCTGATTGGAACAGAATGAAGTCTTACTCTGGGAGGGTAAGACTTGAGATACTATGCTCTTACCCCAGTTGAAACTCTGTGGCATGAGAGACCTTTTGGATGGATAGAGTGGGGAAAATAAGGGCCATTTCTCCTAAACAGAGACAGCCAGCATGTATGACTTGTTAAAAATGTCACGCTATTTTCTGGGGAACTGGTTGTTTTGATGAACTATTCTCTCGAAGTTGTCTAAAACAAATTGCAGTAAAAACAAAGACTTCCAGATCTTTCCTGGAACATAGAGCCTGGGTAAAATCTTAAACTTACTTTTTTGCTTTGAGAGGAAAAAGGTGGGTAAGGTAATAATACCTTTTATTCGACCAAGAAAAGCTATTACCTCACCCACCTTGTCTCTCTAGCTGATGCTAGCCCATTTGGGGTCCTAAGCAGGAATATTTTTGCCCACCTCCAATACTAAAACAGGCAAGTTCTTATAATAAAAAGTGAATGGGGGCCCCCTTGAGCTGTTTGGGGTCCTAAACAATTGCTTAGTCTGCTTATGCCTCGCACCGGTTTTGCAAACAACCTTCTTGCTTTGAAACGTCTTTAAAAAGTTAAAAACAGGGGAAAAGTGTATGCCTGTTCATATGTTTTCAGCCATTTTTCACTTAGCTTCAAACTCATATTGGGTTTTCAACAAGGATGTTTGTGAGTTGGTATCATTACCTATTGCTATTTGTCTGATTGAACCGTTGGAATCAGAGTGCTGGATGATGATGATGGGTCGTGTGGGTGTGTGGATAATTTACTTTAACAATAAAATATGTCCCTTTTCAGCAATGGACATCTTGTAATAAAAGTCAAACAATAGTTTCTGTATCTTATACAAACAGGAGTTTCCCTTAATGGCCATTATAATAAACAGAATACCTTCTCCTTGTCTACTATACATTTTGATTTATAACATTAAAAGATACAAATGAAGCAAATTTGAAGCGTGGAGTACTTCAATTTCACCCTATTCCAGAGCTAAGTTAAATTGGGCTGAGGATACTTGTCTTATTTCAGCATCATGAAACTACTGGATAATGGCAACTGAGTAACATTTCAGATAAACTTTGGTAATAGGATCAGGTAGACTGAAGTTGGCCTGTCTGGCATAATGATTAAAATTAATCTGAGCGGCTGCCATGCAGAGATCTGTTGCACACATATGGTACCTCTGTTTAATATCTCACCTCGTGCCATGACCGTCCTATCAAAACCTCTCCCCTTATTTGTGGGTGATATAATATAAAATACAAGAATTTCTAGGGATAGGTTAGTAAAAGGTGTCCACTTTACTTGTGGCTGGGTAGAAATAATTCATTTATTTGGGCAGCTGGTCTAGGGAGTTAGGGGAAAGAAAAAAATTAACTGTTTCCCTATATCCTGTTGTTGTTTTGATCTCAGTGGAATAACAATTTAAAATGTCAGCAAAGGCTCACATGGTAGGTCAGGTGTCCAATGGCAGTGAAGTGGGGTTTCATTCAGTGGCGGTAAGGCTTTACTTTGCATTATGTGCTTGGTCCTGGAGCGTTGACTGCTCAATGGCCTCTTGTCCTGCCCCTTGTAAAAGGGGCATTCTGTTTAAAATCGATAGAATGTTGGTTCATCCTAAGGCAAACCTCCCCTTTGCTGAATTAAGCTTTCAAGTTGTATTTCAGTCAGTACAGCTGTTCTGCCTGTTAACATTTTGCTTTCTCCCACAAGGTGATGTGCCCAGGTTTTAATATTTGTACCTAGGAATTTAAAAAAAATACATTGTATAACCTATTTCACACAAAGTGCATTCCAAAATGCTTCACAGAAATGTGGAATATAATTAGTTAAATATTAAGCAATAGCTAAGGGAGAGCAGAGCTAAGAGGTTTAGATAAGGGTGAAAAGATGTGTTCTGCAGAGATTTGGAATGAGATGGAGAGTTGATGGGGCACAGAGGTATAAGAAAATTGTTCCAGAGGGCATCAACTGCAAAGCAGAGGGCTCTTGCACTCAAATAGCCAAAATGTGTGGAAGGGACAGAGAAATAAGGGCTTTAAGTGGAGAGAGAAGGATTATAAACCAAACATACTCCTGTTCTAAACCCAAATGTACTTCGCGGACTACTTTTGCTTGCAAACACTCAGCTGTCAGTTTATTTCATTCTCTAGTTTAGGAGTCTAGAACCTCAAAGGATTATTTCTGCAATAGAAAGGGTGTGCCCTATTTCACTGTGGGTATGTTAATATTGTGTGCAGATGGGCATATACAGTGTTATCCCTTTCTTTTTTAAAGAGTCAGTCTGACTGAAAGGAAGTAGAATGTGTCCAACTGCCCAGGGAAAATCTTCACTTGGGTAACAAGTATTGCTTCACATTCACTTTGCGATTTCATTTGGAGTGGGAGGGGGAAGGTGGAGTATTACCATAACAGCTCTTCCATCCCTGATTTTCTGAGACATGGAGAACCTTCTTCAAGAGACATACACCGCTACCACGATATAACGCTGTCCTCGGGAGCCAAAAAATCTTACTGCGTTATAGGTGAAACCGCGTTATATTGAACTTGCTTTGATCCGCTGGAGCGCGCAGCCCCGCCCCCCTGGAGCGCTGCTTTACTGCGTTATATCCAAATTCGTGTTATATCAGGTCGCGTTATAGCGGGGTAGAGGTGTATTATTCAGTATGTGACATGTAACAATTTTTTTTTACAAGGTTCGACAGAGAAAAACAACTGTTTTCCAATAAACTGGCACACTTTCCTCAGGCTTCGAATGCTACTTTTCTAATATCTCATTGTCACTTGTAAAGCAACTTTTTCTTTTGAGATGGGGGAGAATTAAAACAATTTTTTAAAAAAGTTAATGGCAAGGAGGTGGTTGTTGGGAGAGGAGGGAGTTGTGGACTGTGTGAACTTCCATCAGTGCTTTTCTTTTTGTGTAAAGCTGAGCAAAATGGTGGCTAATGTGGTTTCACTGAATAATTATGATCTGGGTAAATTCTACCTGTGAGGGTATGAGATTAATCAAAAGTCAAACAGGACATATTTGTACTCTCCATAAGAATCTTGCTCAGAAGTACATACGCCTCACTCCACATGGATAATATCCATTGACACACATTCACCTCCCTCTTTTTATCACCTTTGTCATTAGGTATGATACCTACTTTGCACTAAATCAGAAGTTAGGAACATACATGAGACTTATACGCAGTTCAAATAGCACAGGCCCTTACCATCTGAACTGAAAGAGAATCTTCATAACGTGTTAAGATGTTAATATAGGATCAAAGACACACAGATGAAAAGTTCTGTTTCCATCCGTAACGGGCAGTTGTGTATATATATACACTAACCAGTTCATTACAATATTAATATAGGACTTGCTATCCTGGATTACATCATCAAGCCATTTTAACTGGGTGTAGTGATGTAGACTGGGTTGTGGAGAGTTGCCCATAAATGTGTTAGGTTCCTGGTGCTGGTTGGAAGCCCCCTTCCTCAGTGCTCTGCACGTATATAAATGTGTTTGCTGGGAGTGGCTCCTACAGGCTGCTGTCACCCCTTGTTTTTGGACTGTCAGTGATGCACAGTATCATCACCTAATGGTGCTTATGCACCATGCAGACAGGGTCCCCCCCAACAAGTTCCATTAGCCCGGCTGTTAGGTGACTCAGTCTGTTTCTGCCTTGACGATGAGAGATTCCTGCAGCCAAGCAAGGAGTCAGGAAAAGAGCCAGTGTGTAGCTGCCCTTCTTTCTCAATCCAGTAACAAAGAAAGAAGAGAGTGAGTCAGGGGTCATTGAGATCTCTCCCAGCCCATCACCAGTCAGGCCCCAAAAACCAGCAGCATGAAACCCAGACTGCATCCTTACTCAGCCAATCCATGAGTTTTCCACTTCGCCTTAATTCAAGTCCAAATAAGGGGAATTTTGGGGTGAGTAGCCAGGTCTCCAAGACAAATATTGTTGAAGCCAACAAGGGAAGGGAGGGGAGAGGAAAAAGAGATGGAATGTATGAGCACTGATGACATGAAAAGAAGAGCAGAACTCAAAAGCTTAAGGAATGATGGACACACAACTGATTAATTGATTGGCTAAGGACAGAACTGATTTCATGATTGAGAGGGAGCTATAGCAGTTGAATTGGGGAAGGAAAAGACAGAAGTGAATTATCTGGGGTGGGGAGACTGGGTAAGAACTGATGGGAAGGGGCATGCAAAACTGATTAACTGATGGGTAGTGAATGGGGGTGGAGACGAGGAGAACAGATTGTGGTGGAGGATAGGATGA